TGGAGTCTCACTCTGTCACCCAGACTGGAGTGCAGTGGCTGCTCCCGGCCACTGCAGCCTCAACCTGCTGGGCTCCGGCGATCCTTCCGCCTCAGCCTTCCGAGTAGCGGGAATTACAGGTGCGTGCTACCACGCCTGGCTGATTTTTTGATTTACTGTAGAGATGAGGTCTCGCTGCCCAGGCGGGTCTCGAACCTGCGGGCTCAGGCAGTCCACTCACCTCAGCCTCCCAAAGGCGCGGGATTACAGGCTGAGCCACTGAGCCTGGCTTAATTTTTTTTTTAATTTATTGTAGAGATGAAATCTTACCAAGTCACCCAGGTTGGTCTCGAACCCTGGGCTCAGGCAGTCCTCTCACCTCAGCCTCCCAAAGTGCTGGGGTTACAGGCTTGAGTAAATGTACCCAGCTAATTTATTTATTTATTGTAGAGACGAGGTCTCACCAAGTTGCCCAGGTTGGTCTCGAACCCTGGGCTCAGCTAATCCACTCACCTCCACTTCCCAAAGTACTGGAATTACAGGCTTGAGCCACTGCGCCTAGCTTATAATTATACATTCTTATGCATAGGAGTAAAAGGCACCATCCTGTGTACTCCCCACTCTCCCAGCACCTCTCCCCTTCAACCTCTCCAGCAAGAAGTCTCTTGTTTTGAAAACTAAATATGAGTATGAGAAAGACAGTCTACTCCAAATACCTTCCCTTTAACTTCTTTCCCGTCCTTAGTTTTGTCCCTCCCAGCCATTAAAAAGAAGTCAGGCATATACAGAACTCAGGATCTATTTATTAAGGAGATGTCAGTGCTTTATCAAACATGAAGAGGTCAGAGGGGGAAGATGGGATAAAGGCCTCTCAGCTGGGACATTTCTTGGCCACTATGAGGACAGCAGAAGGCACAAGTCCTGAAGATGGAAGAAAACAGGTTTGAACAACAAGGAATCCTGTTTTTTGCTCTCAAAATTCCTGGCCTCAAACCATCTCCACAAAGTCTTCTCTTCGCATCCCTTCTTTTCCCAGGCATTCTCTCACACCCCCAACCCCAGTCCTGGTTTCTGGTCTTGCATGCCATACCCAGCTCCTGCAGAGGTCGTTCCATGTCAGCCTCTGAGAAGGCCCGTCTGGGGAAGCCACTGAGCAACTGCACAGGGTCCTGGCCCCCTCCAGGTTCCTCCCCACAGTGGAGCTCCACATAGAGCCTCACGGCTGCCAGCTGTTCCCGGGCCCGAAACGTCTGTGTCAGTGAGGTCCCATCTGGCAGCCTGACCTAGAGGGCAAGGGAGAAATCCAGTATTGTAAGTATCAAAACTTAGTGAGGTGCCCAAGTAAGGAAAAGAAGAAGAGCTAAAGCTGGCCCCTCCTTCCTCTTAGATTGAACCAGAAAGGCTACTATTTAAAGCACTGAATGAACATCCACTTGTACTCTGTTTTACTAAATGTTGATGAGAGACTCCCAGCTTTCTCACCATCTTAAAACAAGAACAAGATACACAAAATATCTGGATAAATGCCACATCACCAAATAGCTGTGTAATACATCAAACGGAAACATGAACAAGTAAAAGAGTAATTGCTGAGTAAGAGGGAGATATGGATTTAAATAAAACTGGCAGGTGAAATTTGATACCTTTCCTAAGAGTAGAGAAGATAGGATTTCAAAAGTCATTTACAAAGAAGGGAAAGATTTGGCAAAGGGAACATAACTGAAAAAAGCTCTGAGCTGAGCACTTTACAGGCCAACAAAAGGGTGCTAGGAGCAAGACAGGAATCAAAATCAGTACCTGTATGCGACACTGGTCATACTCCCTCTTGGTGGGAGGCTCCTGGCTGGGAGAGGAGGGAACAGGACCTAGCTCTGGTGCTGGTGGGGATGGCCGAGAACCCACGCTACCACCATACTAAAACAGCAAAGTAAAACAATCAGCACTTACCCATTTTCAAGAGAAATAGAGGGCATAAGCCCATGCTTTCCCTCTGAAGCTGGAAAAGAGGGTTTATTAACCCACCTACTCCAATACCCCAATCACGTACCTTCTTGGCTCTCTCTGCTTTGTCCCTCTCGATCTTTTCTCTAACTCTTTGTCTAGAATGCAGACAAGAAGAAAGTTGGTCAAACTCAACACAGCAAATCTTGCTTTCTTTTTTTTGGCGGGAGGGGGAGTGGTAGTCTCACTCTATCACCCAGGCTGGAGTGCAGTGGCACACTTACAGTCACCACAGCGTTAACATGCTGGGCTCAGGCGATCATTCTGCCTCAGTCTTCCATGTAGCTGAAACCACAGGCATGTGCCACCATGCTCAGCTGATTTTTTTTTCTTTTTTTTTTTTTTGAGTTGGAGTCTCACTCTGTAACCCAGACTGGAGTGCAATGGCCGCTCCCGGCCACCGCAGCCTCGACCTGCTGGGCTCTGGCAATCCTTCCTCCTCAGCCTTCCAAGTAGCTGGAACTACAGGCACGCGCTACCACGTCTGGCTATTTTTTTTTTTTTTATAGTGGAGATGAGGTCTCGCCAAGTTGCCCAGGCAGGTCTCGAACCCGTGGGCTCAGGCAATCCCCTCACCTCAGGCTCCCAAAGTGCTGGGATTACAGACTGAGCCACTGAGCCCAGCCTGGTTTTCTTATTTATTGTAGGGACGAGGTCTCACCAAGTTGTCCAGGCTGGTCTCAAACCCCTTGGCTCAGGCAGTCCTCTCTCCTCTGCCTCCCAAAGTGCTGGGAATACAGGCATGAGCCACTGTGCCCAGCGCTTTTTTTTTTTTTTTTTGAGTCAGTCTAACTCTGTCACCCAGGCTGGAGTGTAGTGGCACACTCATGGCCACCGCAGCCTCAACCTGCTGGGCTCGGGTGATCCTTCTGCCTCAGCATTCTAAGTAGCTGGAACTACAGTCACACGCTACCACACCCGGATAATTTTTTTATTTGTTGTAGAGATGAGGTCCCGCCAAGTTGCCCAGGCTGGCCTCAAACCCCTGAATTTGGGAGATTCTCTTGCCTATGCCTCCCAAAGTGCTGGGATTACAGGTGTGAGCTATCATGCCCGGCTAAATCTTGGTTTTTTTCTTATCTGTTATTCAATATCTGGATCACCCAGACCTGGCTGCTAACTCTTCAGCCTTTTCCCTCCTCCGCTCCTCAGCAGCCCGGCGCATCTCATCTTCCTGTAGCCGTTGTCGTGCAACTGACAATTCTTGCCCTTGTCTCCTGCGCTGCTTTTCCCGTTCCAATGCCTCCCGCTCCTCTCTCTCTTCACGCTCCCGCTGCTTCTGGGCCACCAGCTCCAACATCCTGCATTACAGAAAGAAAAAGCTCAAGATAAATAGACATGGAGTAGGAAGGTGAGTATATATACTATATATTTATTTTGAGGTGGAGTCTCTGTCACCCAGGCTGTAGTGCAGTGGCACATTCATGACCACTGCAGTCTCGACGTGCAGTGGTTGTTCAGCCTCAGCTTTCCAGGTAGCTGGAACTACAGGCACGCGCCACCACACCCGCCTAATTTTTTTGTAGCAATGAGGTCTTGTCAAGTTGCCCAGGCTGGTCTGGAACCCGTGGGCTCAGGCAGTCCTCTCACCTTGGCCTCCCAAAGTGCTGGGATTATAGGCGTGAGCCACCACACCCGGCCATGAGTATATTTACAAGGGACTCAGAACAAAATCAGCCAACGTGTGTCCCAAAATCAAAGAAAGAAATTTTAAAAAAGGAAAATGCCAAGAAAGAACAGAGGAAATGTGGAAAGGTCAAGGTTCTTTGACAAGACGTGTATTGTTGAGAGATGGAAGAGGAAGGACCCTCAGAGATGTGGGATTGTTCCTGACTGTACCTCTTAGTCTGTTCCTGTCTTTCCTCTTCACTCAAAATGGGTTTGCCTTCTCCAGCAACAGACCCAGGTCCTACAAATAAGCAATCGGTATTATTATCCCGTTAGATTCATCTCGGACCCTCCTGAATAATACTCCATGTTCCCCAGTCAGGACCTTCAGGGCCGCCTTGCTCCGAGGAGGTGGGTTCCCGTCCCAGCATATGTCCAATGGGGGTCTCTAGAGGCTCGTCCACATCGGGGTCGTCTTCGTGCTCCATCAACCTGGCAGGGGAAGTCAGCAGGGAGGTTAGCATTGAGGATGGCCCCCCTCAGCAGCCCCCAACCCTCCGCCAGCCGGTCTGAGCACTCACCAGTCCATCGCAGCCTCGATGCCCTGGTTCCCTGTGAGGGCCAGAGCCTTCTCCCTGGGGGCAGAAACATCGTGAATAGCGACCACGAGTCACAGTAACGGTCAGGCTAAGATAAAGCCCGGACGAGTCCGCAGCCCCCCACTCCCGTGGGCCGCGGTCGGGGGGACTCCCTTACGCGCGTCCCCTGGGGAAGCCCATCTCGATGAGACTCTCCAGAGCCGTCAGCTCCGCCATGGCGCCGCCACTGCCGCTTCCGCGGGGACCTGATGTGGCGAGAAGGAGGGCGCGAAGGGTCAGCTCGGGGCAGTCCAGCCCCCGACGTCCCCGGCCGGGCGCTCGCTCGCTCACCCGGCTCTGAAGCTGCCGGGGACACCGACGAGAAGAAAGCCGAGGGGAAGCGGAAGTGCCCGAGTCTGTTTGGGTCACGTGGAGGCGGACGTGGACGGGTGCCGCGGAGAGCCAAAAGTACTGACTAGTTCTACTTTCCGGACTCTGCGTGGGCGGGGACGGCGGCGCTATCGAGTCGCGCACCAGGAGCCCAGTCACCAGGCTGCAGCGCCTGGCGGCGGTGAGGAAGAAAAATAATGCTGCTTGAAACTCGTGGGCGGCATGAAGCCAGCTGCCAGAACTTCACACTGCTCCACCCTCCTTAGAAATTAGAAGGAAGAGCCGGGCTCGGTGGCTCAGCCTGTAATCCCGCGCCTTGGGAGGCTGAGGTGAGTGGATTGCCTGAGCCCACAAGTTCGAGACCCGCCTGGGCAACTTGGCGAGACCTCATCTCTACAATACATCAAAAAATTAGCCGGGCGTGGAAGCGCGCGCCTGGAGTTCCGGCTCCTTGGAAGGCTGAGGCGGAAGGCTCGCCGGAGCCCAGCAGGTCGAGGCTGCGGTGGCCGGGAGCGGCCACTGCACTCCAGTCTGGGCGACGGAGTGAGACTCCAACTCAAAAAAAGAAAAGAAAAAGGAAAAAAAGAAATGTGCGTGCTCTTTGACCCACTCATCCTCGCCAGAGAATTGACCCGTCTTCTCTGCCTGACTGCCAAAGGGACTTGTGTAAAACACAGTATCTGATCCGGTCATCACCTCTCTGCTTAAAATGCCTCCATGACACTCTAGTTATCTGGGACAAAACTTAAACGCTGGTGGTTTGACTTCCTCCTGCCCTCTACCCGCCATTCCCCCATTACTGTCCCATCTATAAGGTGGAGACAAAAATTGCGCCTCTCTTAGGCGCCTGGGAACACAGCGGCTGGAAATGCTGGTAGTTATTGCGCAGTTTCATTTCCCACCACTTGAGGGTAACCTGCGCATATTGCAAAAGCGGCCCTCACCCACCTCTTGGCCTTTGCACCTACCAGTCTCTGCCTGCGACGTCCAGTCTCTTCTCTCAGCATGGTTAACCGACTCCCCAGTCCGCTTTGACCACCCACTCTGCCTTCCAACTTCAGGGTTTACCCCATTAAGCCTTTATTCCTCTGCTATGTAGCTATTGTTGATTATCTTGCATTTCACCACTACCTGGCTGTTAAGATTCCTGAGAGCGAAGCTCTCATTAAATGTTTATTAGGGCCGGGAGCGGCCACTGCACTCCAGTCTGGGCGACAGAGTGAGACTCCAACTCAAAAAATTAAATTAAATTAAATTAAATTAAAAAATAGGCCAGGCTCGGCGGCTCAGCCTGTAATCCCAGCACTTTGGGAGGCCTAGGTGAGTGGATTGCCTGAGCCCGCGGGTTCGAGACCTGCCTGGGCAACTTCGCGAGGCCTCATCTCTACAATAAATTAATTAGCTGGGCATGGTAGCACACGCCTGTAGTTCCGGCGACTTGGAATGCTGAAGCGGAAGGGTCGCTGGAGCCCAGCAGGTCGACGCTGGGGTGGCAGTGAGTGTGCCACTGCACTCCAGTCTGGATGACAGAGTGAGACTCCAACTTAAAAAAAAAATGTTTAAGCCGGGCTCGGTGGCTCAGCCTGTAATCCCGCGCCTTTGGGAGGCTGAGGTGAGTGGATTGCCTGAGCCTGCGGGTTCGATACCCGCCTGGGCAGTGAGACCTCATCTCTACAATAAATCAAAAACTCATCCGGGCGTGGTAGCACATGTCTGTAATTCCGGCTACTTGGAAGGCTGAGGTGGAAGGATCTCCGGATCCCAGCAGGTCGAGGCTGCGGTGGCCGGGAGCGGCCATTGCACTCCAGTCTGGGCGACACAGTGAGACTCCAACTCAAAAAAAAAAAAAAATTGTTTATTAGGAGGTAGAGTTATGAGAACAGTTACTAAATATAATATATGCACTACAGACCTTTATATGATTGATTCATATTTAATCATCACAAAGATGCCTATGATGTAGATACTATTATTTGTTACAGGAAACAAGGAAAGATGAGACCATTTTCCTAATGTCACAAAATTAAGTATCAGAGCTAGGATTCACTTCATGCAGTATGTGTTCACTTTGCTATGTTGCCTCTCCATGGTAGAGTAAAAAGTATTGACTTTTTAAATTTATTTATTTGTTGGAGTCTCACTCTGTCCCCAAGGCTGGAGTGCAGTGACATGCTCACCACAGCCACTGCAACTTCAATCTGCTGGGCTTAGGCAATCCTTCCACTTCAGGCTTCTAAGTAGCTGGAACTATAGGTGTGCACCACCATGCTCAGCTATTTTTATTTATTGTAGAGATGGGGTCTTGTCAAATTGCCCAGGCTGGTCTTGAACCCCTAGGGCTCAGGCAATCCTCTTGCCTCAGCCTTCCAAAGTGCTGGGACTACAGGTGTGAGCAACCGCACCCGGGATATTTTTATTTTTGTTTGGACTGCAGTGGCATGCTCCTGGTCACTGCAGCCTCGACCTGCTGGGCTCCGGTGATCCTTCCGCCTCAGCCTGACAAGTATCTGGAACTATAGACGTGTACTAGTGTGCCTGGCTAATTTTTTATTTATTGTAGAGATGAGTCTCGCTAAGTTGCCCAGGTGGGTCTCTAACCTGTGGGCTCAGGCAATCAACTCACCTCAGCCTCTCAAAGTGCTGGGATTACAGGCTGAGCCACCGAGCCCGGCTTTATTTTTATTTTTTTTAAGTTAGAGTCTCGCTCTGTTATCAAGCTGGAGTGCACTGGCATGCTCACAGCCATAGCAGCCTCGACCTGCTGGGCTCAGGCAATCCTTACACCTCAGCCTTCCAAGTAGCTGGAACCACAGGCATGTATCGTCATGGCTGGCTGATTTTTTGATTTATTGTAGAGATGAGATCTTGCCATGTTGCTCAGGGTGGTCTTGAGCCCCTGAGCTCAGGCAATCTTCTCGGCTCTGCCTCCCAAAATGCTGAGATTACAGGCATGAACCAATGCACCTGGCTAGCACTGGCTTTAAAGTTGAACAGGTTAGGCCTGACGCACCAGAGTCCGGAATACCCAGAAGGGAAGGCTGAAGAAATGACCCAGAGTAAATGGACAAGATATGGGCTTTATTCAGGAACCTGTAGGGAGGATGGTTCAGGAGCATCAGCTGGAGAGGGAAAAAAACCGCAACAGATTGTATTGTTTTGTTTTGTTTTAGTTGGAGTCTTACTCTGTCACCCAGGCTGGAGGGCAGTGGCATGCTTATGGTCACCATAGCCTCGACCTGCTGGGCTCAGGCGATCCTTCCACCTCAGCCTTCCAAGTAGCTGAAACTACAGGCACATGCCACCACACCCAGCTATTTTTTGATTTATTGTAGAGACGAGGTCTCGCCAAATTGCCCAGGCTGGTCTCGAACTCGTGGGCTCAGGCAATTCTCTCACCTTGACCTTCCAAAGTGCTGGGATTATAGGCATGAACCACCACGCCTGGACACAAAATGACTCCTGCAGGGCAAGAGACAGAAAGAACCCCTCCTGGTGCCAGTGGTGTGGGCAAGAGGCCTGCGCCCCAGCCTCTTGTCTCTGTGAAGCGTCATACCCACTGAGTTAAGGTCTTGGCCACTGAGGGCACTGGGGATGGGAGTGACCAGCCGGAGGTCTCCAACTTGAAGTTCTCTCTACATAGAGGGCCCCTGTCAATAGCCAGCATGGGGGCACAGACATTCAAGCCTCAGGAGCCGCCTCAGAGATGCTGCTTTTTGTTTGTTTGTTTGTTTGAGTCTCATTCCGTCGCCCAGGCTGGAGTGCAAGCTCACAGTCGACCTACTGGGCTCCAGCGATCCTCTGCCTCAGCCTTCCGAGTAGCCACAACTATAGGCACGCGCTACCACACCTGGCTATTTTTTATTTTATTGTAGAGATGAGGTCTCGCCAAGTTGCCCGGGCTGGTCTCGAACCCATGGGCTCGGGCAGTCCACTCACGTTGGCCTCCCAAAGTGCTGGGATTACAGAGAGATGTTGCTTCAAGTGGGCAGTGTGTCCAGAGTCAGGCCAGCTTCTCCAAGGGCACCACTGTGAGGCACCTTCTGTCCGCATCTCCCCTGCATTTGCTTCCTGGGCGTCCCAGAGCCTCTTAGGGGTAGAGGAGAAGGACTGATGGCAGTGGCTATGGTCAGCTCTGCCCAGAGGGTGACTGCTGATGAAGCGACACTGCTCTTCGTAGGGGTAGTCATCAAGCTGGCCGCTCCAGAGTCTCTACAGATTGTAAAAGACATTTTACATAGGGCAGAGTGTGGGATTAAATGCGAAAAGGGTAGAGTTTTTAAGGTTATAATGAACTAAGGGTGAACTAAAGGTAACCAAAGGTTATGCGCATTGATCTAGGCATGCCCAATCGGGTCTGAACCAGCCCAGGGTACTCACTCCTCAAGGAAGGGTGTGCCACAGCATCCACTATGCATACCTATAAGATGTGGTCACCCTCCTTCCCCCCACATCCTCCTCTACTCTTAACTTCTTGCTCTAAGCATCCAAAGAATTCACCCATGCTGCTCATCCTTCCAGCTGCTCCATCCTGGCTTCTGCGCCACTACTCCTGTGAGACCACCATGGCATCCAGGGCTCTGTCTCCACACACTCCGAAGGGCCATTTTCAATTCTTGCTTTATGAGACCTTTTAGACTCATCAAACAGCTGACTGCCAACCCCATGAAGTGTTCTACGCCTGGAGTCACCGAGAGCTGGGACTTTGGTGTGCTCACCTTCCTTTCTAGTTTCCCTTTTTCTTCTTTTTTTTTTGAGTCAAACTCTGTTGCTCAGACTGGAATGGTGCAGTAGCATCATCATGGCTCACATAGCAGCCTTGATCTCCTGGGCCCGGGTGATCCTTCTGCCTCAGCCTCCCAAGTATCCAGGACTACAGACTTGCATCTCCGTGCCTGGCTAGTGTTTGGATTTTGTGCAGAGACAGTCTCTTGATGTTTCCCAAGGCTGGTCTCAAACTATTGGACTCAGGCAATCCTCATGCCTCAGCCTCCAAAAGTGCTGGGATTACAGATGTGAACAACTGCTCCTGGCCTGA